GGGAGGGAATCCATGTGCCCCCTGGGATCTGTGTGCCCCCTGGATCAGATGTGCTGAAAATCTGATGTGCCATTAAAGTCCCTTTGCAAGCAGTTAATGGCAGTTAATAGTGCTGGTGCCTAGTTCAGGGTGTAGATGTATAATGTTTATATCCATGTTTTATACCCATATACTCAGCACCCCTCTGAGTATGTGGGTAATAGGTGCTGAGTGATGTGCTGTAATAGGGCTTATTATTACCCTAGGGCAGCTATATGTCTATCTGTTCCTGGTCTCCTATAATTTACATCTGTGTTCAAACAAAATGTAAATTTTACTGGGATATGTGACTGGCTCTCCCCACCCTAAAGAGCACTGTGTATGCAGTATGTGTCTTACTTCAAGTGTGACTAATTCTTCAATTAACTTTTTAGTACATTCGTACAATTTGAGATTTTTTTTCTGTCATATACACACCTCTAGGATTTGCACTGATAAGCATCTTGGTAGATTCAGTTCCCATAACAAATTTACACTGATGAACTGGATTTGCTTGATCAAAGCACACTGTGTACTTAGGAACTGAATTACAGAACACCTAGTTCTCCTTCAAAAAGTCTCTGTGTTAAAGTATTCCTTTCTGAATGGGGCACGGCTGCCAGTGGTGTAGGGCACTCATTGAGCATCTGGGGTTGGGATGGGGAGCACCATTCTGCTTCCTTCACTCACCCCCTAAATCTCAGATACACTGTTTAGTTCACTGCTGCAATGCTGCCCAGCTTCTGTGGCCAGGGCTTCCCCCACCATGTCAAAGACTCCCGGTGGAAAGGGATCCTGGTGCCCGCTCATAGTCAGTGCCTGTGGCAGGCCCCCCGCCTCACCCTATCTTAGTTACACTACTGACCGCTGCCATATGAACACAAAGCACTGTGAGTGGGTGCATGGAGGGGCCCTGCAAACTGACTGCAGCAGGGTCTCTAACTGGAACACACAACAGGGCGGTGGTGGCTCAGCTGGGGAGATGGGTAAGGTCACTGCAAAGGGAACAGGAAGCTTGGGCAGAATGGCCAGTTGTTGGAGGCAGCAGGCCACCTTTTACATTCTTCTCAAAATCAGTGGTGGTGTTAGTGGCAGGGCACTGTTGGTGCCTGCCACTTTAAGACCAGAGCCAAGCAGTCAGCAGGTGCTTGATTGTGGTGGCCTTTTTAGATTTCGGGCCACCCATATAAACAGATCAGTTTCCTACTGGCAGGACAGGCAGTAACATTGTCTGGCTGCAAGGCTCCATAACATCTTGGAGGTAAGGGAGGAGCTGTAGGGGATGACTAGGAGGTTCCTGGTCCTGGGCATGACCTAAAACTGCACCCTGCTGGGAGTGGGTGGCCTGGTGGGGCTCTCAGTGGTACAGAAGCCCCCAGGAAATGCCAGGCCAGTTATCATCCTGGTGAAAGGTGGGTAGGAGTGCCTTAACCCTAGCCCTCACCTTTGGGTGGGTCTGGTAACATTGGAGGTAATGGGAGGCCAGGCATGGCTGTGGCCACTTGAGTCCTGTGGGGTGCAAGACCCCGAGAAGGGAGAGTTGGGGCTAGGCACGGCTGTGGCCACCTGAGCCCACCGGGGGAGGGAAACCCCATGGCCCTGAGAGAGGGGGGCAGAGATGTGGAGGAGCCCCAAGGGAGGGGGAGAAGACCCAGAGGGCTGAGGGCCCAGTACGTTATATATATGAGTTGCCCCCAGAAGGGGCTTGAGCAAGCTTAGACCTGGTCAGGTAATTGGCTGGCCACTACCCCGGTTAGGGTCACAGGAGAGGCCCAAAGATGGTACGTCTGTCACCTGAGGAATGGACTAGCTAAGCCAATGGCCTAAGGGGCTGGCTCCAAGAGGGAGCAAGGCAGAATAAGTTGTTGACGCTAGAGAGTGAGTGAGTGTCCTGACAACAGGCCTAAGCTTGTTCCAGCTGTAGGTAGGGGGCATATTGCCATCTGGATGTCATCTGTGAGGCATGAGCTACGGTGTAGGGGAAGTACGGAGCCGCAGATAGTGCCCCCTGTCATCAGGGCATGAATGGACAGCCTCCCACCTTAATTAACATCTTAATTAAGAACAAGGCATGGCAGGTGAGTCAAATGGAGGGTGTGCCCAAAGGCAAGTGGGGACCCTAGCACTGTGGCTAGGCAGGGAGTCCCACTTTGCCACAAAGTTGAGCAGGGAAAGGGAGTAGGACTCAAAGGGTACTGGCACGCACTAGCCCAGGATTCTGCTTAGCACAGCTCTCCATGGTTTCCCTGTTGTTGCCGTGCTTGATGCCGTCAAAAATGCTTAAGCTTCTATGTCTGGACACCCGGTATTCCTGGCCTCTCATAGGGAGGTCCAGACAGCTCCAGAAGGAAGTGCAATGATAATAGCTAAAATGACTTCTGTTAATGGGGAATCAGGATCCCACCTTCTCACTTGCCTAATACTTCCCACTTTAACTTTGACCCATACCCTTCCTCCTCACCCATCAGTGACATTTCCTCTCTTCCTTTTTGCAGCTATTAGAGGAGATGGTGGTGGGAGAACCTCTTCTCTCCTTGTGGTGGAGGGGATTTACCTTACCCAGAGGACTCTCCAGTTGAAAGAAGTCAACCACCCAAAATTACCTTTTAAAAAAAAAAAAAGATTTTACAGGCCAATCTAAGAAGACAAAGAAAGAATAAGAGAATATGGGTAAAATACTACTGCAAG